GGGGGGGGGGACACACACAGAGCGGGGGCTCTCAGGAGTGGTGTGATGGAAAGGGGAGGGACAGACATGGGGGAGATGGGGGACAGCTTCTCCGTTGGGGTGATGGTGCCACCCTACGTGCTGGCACCCCAACCGGGGAGGGGTGGGGGGCCCATGGGGGGTCTCTGGTACCTCTCCGCAGGAGGATGGGGTCAGACCACTGTGTCTCTGCTTTGGGGCCGTGGCAGCCCATCGCCAGGAACTTCACCCTGTGGGATGGGTATGGTGACACCGGGATGGGGGGCACCAGCACACCCTCACCCTGGGTTGTCGGGGGGGGGATCAGTCCCTCTGGCCTCACCTGTAGGGTCCCGGGGAGGGCAGGGGTCCATTGCAGGGGTCCTGGCCGCCCTGTCCCCCGCAGGCTGTATCACCCCCGACACGCAGGACCTCCATGGTGGACGCCGAGCAGGAGTACGTGGCTGCCACCGTCTCCAGCGTCATATAGGAGTGGGTGGTGGGCAGCCCCTCGTAGGGGGGCACGTCAGCCCGGGTCGGGGGGTTTTTGAAGGTGTCCGAGGCTGTGCAGCACAGATGGGGGGCGGTGAGTGGCTGCGGAGAGGGTCCCCCCGACGTCCCCCCCTCCTGCCATGGAGGGGAGCGTGTGGCGGAGCAGGGAGCGCTCACCGTTGGCGAAAGCCACCACCAGCCAGACGGCGTCGGAGGCGTTGGTGTCCCCCTCGAAGACACAGCAGGGCATCTCCAGCGCGAAGGTGGTGGCCGTCACCTTCCCCAGCAGCGCCCCGGGGGGCACGCGGGGCACGTAGGGCAGCAGGGCTGGGGGGGTGAGGGGGGCAGGCAGTGAGCAGGCGGTCCCCGTGCTCCCCGCTTCTCAAGCGAGCTCCTCACCCCAGTTTGTATCCACGTTGGGGTCCACGAGTGCTGGTGTCGGGGCTCATGGGGTGCCAGCAGTGCCAGCACCAGGGGGATGGCACCAGCGTGGGGGACCACCCAGCCATGCCCAGCCCCATAGCCCCCTCCCCACCACAAACCCCTCGCAGCCCCCTCCAAGCCCCTGTCCTCCATTCCCCAGGGGGGGTCACCAAGGTCCGTGGCTGTGCCCATCCCAACCAGCGCCAGCAGCACCCACGGCAGCTCCATGGTGGTGTCCCAGCAGGGATGGACGTGGTGCTCTGCTCCGTGAGCCCCGTCCCACTGCCCGGGGGACGAACCGCCCCACCAGCCCCTGCTGTGGGGACCGCCTGTCCCCGGGAACTGGGCCCTCCCAGCCCCACATTCCTGCACTGGCTCTGCTGGCCCGGCCAGACCCCCCGGGCAAAGGGGCCACCTGAGCCTTCTGGGGTCACATGCTAGTCCCAAACCACCCCCCCCCGGGGGTCCCCCCGGAGCCGAGGTGCAGGGCTGGGCTGTGAGGGCACAGGACACAAGCCTGTGATGTGGAAGGGGAAACTGAGGCACAGATAAGACACGTTCAAGAGCAGGTCAGAGGAGTCAGAGGTTTTCTTGGGGCTATGGGGACAGCCAGGCGAGAGTGGTCCCGCTCCCCCCTTCACCCCAGCAGGATCTGACTCCATCCTTGTGCCCACCCAGCACCCAGAGCAAGGGGTGAGCCCTGTTTCTGGGTGCAGCCAGCCTTGCCCTGCGGGTGGGGAAGGACTCCAGTGCCATCACACCCAAAACTCACCCAAAACCCCAACCCGTTTCTAGGCGAACCGTCCCACCCAGTGCCCTGGGGGCACAGAGGCACTCAAAGCCACCCCATGGTGACATTTCCCCATCCATCCTCCCCCCTCCTTGGCAGCAGGGACAAGCCACAGCCCCCCCTTCCCCAGGGGAAAGGCTCCTCAAGCCCTTGGGACATGGCCAGGGATGACTGACTGAGGAAGAGGAGCTTCCCTCCACGGCTTGGGGGCCCCCACCACCAGCCCCCCCCAGCTGCTCTCCACACAAAGGGGTTGGAGTGCTTCTTCTTTGGTGTTTGCCAAGGGCTGTGGCCGCCCGCTCCTGCGTGGGAGGGGATTTGCCCCCCCCCGAAAGGGTTTGGGACTGCGCCTTCAGATTAAGTGGAAACGGGGGCATTCAAAGATTACAGAGTCCAGCTGTGGAAGGAAAAAATAAGCTTCTCTCCTCCCATCCTTGCCACCCTGGGGTCCGCGGGGACATGCCAGTCCCCCCATCTGCCACCCCAGAGCCCTCCTTGGCACTCCCCGAGCGGGTGCCAGCAGCAGGGCGAGGGAGACAGGGTGACGCAGGGGGACACTGAGTCACAGTTTCAGCTGGCGGTACCCGCTGTGGGACACGGGGCCAGCATACCTGGGGGGTCAAGGCTGGGCTAATAATAACCACCCTGCTGCGAGCCAGCCAGCACCACAGGGGGAAGGGAGAAATCCCCGCCGTGGGGCTCCAGCCAGGGCCAGGGGGACACCAGGCTGTGGGGCAGACCCATGGGGTAGCATTAAAGCATTTCTTTGGGGTTCTGTCTCCCCCCAGTTCTGATGGGCACCACAGCCACGCTTTGGTCCCATGCCAGCCCTGGTGCCTTCCCCCTTAGCCCGGGGCAAGGAGGGGACCTGCTTGGAAGCATCTCCCAGCAGAGCTGTGGTACCCAAGCACCTGCATGCCCCCCACCATGGAGGGGTTAATCTGTCCCAGGGCTCAGCACAGATTTTAGGAGATGCCCGCCCTCAGGATGTGCCAGCCAGGGATGAAGTTCACTCCATGATGCCCCAGCCCTGCCCAGACGCAGGGAGGCTCCAGCTGATTCAGGCCCAGGAACATCTGCTGAAGGTGCCTGGGGCCACGCTCAACAAGAAATTCTTGCTTTGTCCAGGGCTGGGTGAACCCTGCTCAATTTTTTCACTTCAATTGACTGTTTTGATTTCTGAGAGAAGATGAGCCGGGGATAGAAAGCTGAGGTTTAACCTCAAAACCTCTCCCTTTTGCAACCAGGGCAGGAGAGGAGCAGACACAGCCCCTTCCTGTAGGGCTTGGCAACACAAACACACACCCATTGCTCCCACGGGGCTCCCATTCCTGCAGCACCCTGACTTCGCTGGGTGGTTGAGGGTTTTCTCCCTAAAGCCAGGAGACCACAAGGACAAAGCTCCAGCCCTTGATGGCTCCTAAAAACTTTTAATTTTCATAGGGGCTTGATGGAAAGAATATTGCCCCCCTGCTGATCCAGGACGTGCTGGTTCCAGGAGGACACTGACACAACTATCACAAACACGGCCACATCCTAGAGCCCCCAGGAAGGAGGCGAGATGGCAGATGGCACCAGGGCCTCTTTTGTGCCAAAGGGATTTAATGTGGGCCAAGCTCTGAGGACTTGCAGCTGGGGCTCTCTGATGGCCACAGAGAGATAGAAACGGCTCTTGGAAAGACCAGCTACCAGGTGACAACGCCCCTGGGGACAACACGCAACAAGGACACCAGGAGTGGGGCAATATCCCTCCAGGCAGAGCTCAGGGTGCAGGAACATGCCTTGCATCGTTGCCACCAGGGCCCAGCTGGCAGCAGAAGCAGGAAGGTGGCCCATCACCACCGGGTGGCACCAGCGGTCCTGCAGCAGCCACACAAAGCAGTTCAACAGCCTCCTCCCTGCAGAGGCCACACCAGACACAAACAGCCCCAAACTGCTGTCTTTTCACCTGAGAGAGGGAGGAAAAGAGGGGCAGGTCCTGCCAGAAGAGCTTCAGGATGATGGGAGCAGGGATGGCAGCTGACAGCAAGAACAGGGAGCTGTGACTTCCTCCAGGATGGACACTGCCAGGTCCTACCGGGTCACCTCTGCTGGCACCGTGGCCACAGACCACCAGGATGAAACCCCTGAGCCTTGGGACCAGCACCAGAGGTTTGTCCCTCCAACAGAGCTCAGCTTTCCCTCCTCTCTCTGGGCTGGATCCAGCGTCCCCAGCTCCGTGGAACAGGATGGTCCCTCCAGAGTGGGCCACCAAGGGGGGAGGCACCCCAAGCCATCAGGCAGCAGCGAGTTTCTGTGGAAACGAAGTGTTTATTAATGACCAAGCAGAGATACAGGGGCAGGAGGGAGGAGGCTTCGCTGTAAGAGGTGCCCCAGAGATGGGGAGCTGCTGGAGGGAGGCTCCTCCTTTGCTTTCCAGCTGGTTTAATGGGAGCAAGTCACCCCCCTTATCCCCCCCATCCTGTCCCCAGGCATGTCCAGGGCGAGGTTTGCCTTCACAAGGGGGTCTGTCACCTCAGGACCGCTCTTCCCAGCCAGTCCCAGATGTGGCCATCAACTTGGAGAAACAAGTGCAGTTTCTACAAAAATATCCTTCCCTCCCCAAAAAAAAATAAAGAGTATGGAGAGCAGGCGGGGCTCCCGCCTACAGTGTTATTGCTCAGTGTGACGGGGGGTGGGACACAAGAACTTAAGGCAACAGGAATAAGTGCACTGGTGGCCCCCCGAGGCGTGCAGGGCACGGCCAGGGTCCCCTCCCCAGCTCATTGTCTCAGGCAGTCCTCGGTGACCCCCTGGGCAGCCAGCTCTGCCAGCACATTGTCCAGGTAGTTGGGGTCAGGGTAACCATGGCCGCTCAGGTTTGTGTCCATCTCTGTCTTGTGGTGGATCTCGTTCCACACCACCGTGTTGCTCTCGCCGGTGGTGTTGGAGGTGCCCACTGTGAAAATCAGGCGTCGCTTCCAGGCCACCCTCAGGAGCTCCAGGACCTTGAGGTGGAGAGAGAAAGAAGAAAGCTGGCCTTCAACACCTTGGAGACTTAAGCCATGAAAGCAGCTTGTCAGAAGCTCAACAACCTAAATCCCCACTGTAGCAGGAAGAAACCAAACCAGTATCAGAAAGGATCTCCCCTCACCTCCTAGTTACCCATGTGGTGACCCTGATGGGATGAGACCATTCCCTGTACATGCTGGTCTTCCAGGACTTGAAAAATACTGGCACAAGTTGAGACAAACACACCCACCCAATAGGGAATGGGGATGGGAAGAGCCAGCAGATGGTTCCCAGTGCAAACCCCTGTAACCACATAGCCCAAGAGAGGCCAGGAGGGTCTTCCTAAAAGATCAGGTGGGATTTTGTTTAAAGGGATGAAGGAGAACAAGTCTTCACAGTCAAAGCTGTGAAGAAGTAGCAAAGATCTCCACAGGTAGAGGGGTTACAAATACACCTAAAGAAGAAAGAGCATGGGCCACTACCAAGAATAGCTGGTTGGCATCATGGGGACAGCTCCCAAAAGTGACCCTGTTGTGCCAAATCCACCAACACAGGGCCAAGAGCCAGCCTGAGAAGGGTGATGGTATCAGGGTGTGGTCCTTACCTTCCTGCCCTTCTCGTTGTCCGGCAGGTAACAATAGCGAGGGAAGCCTCGTGCCGTGTAAGGCATCCCCGGGTTGGGGTGCTCGGGGCCCTGCAAGAAATAAGACATATTTGGCATGGACACGCCCACCTTCAAAGGAGTTAGACAACCCCTCAGCAGCAGGATTTGACATAGACCCATCCCAAACCAGCTCTTCCATGAAGCTGCTGCTGATTACGAGTATGAGTTTGACTTCTTATGGGACATGTGAGTATCATGGGTCCTCCAAGAGCCACCTCCTGCTGGGATACAAAGCCAGCTCTTCAGATTACTTAAATTCTGGTGGGAGACAGCTCCAAACCACAGCTTCTTCCATGTGGTTTGATGACACCCTAGAAAGGCCACCCAGTTCAAACCTTTGCAAGCTCACTGTAACCACCAAAACCTCAGATGTGGGTTGTGAAACCAGATCTCTCCCACCTTGTGAGCGTGAGACAAGTTTCCTCCCTGCTTCATGAAGACATTAGTCTTTACTGCAGGTAAAAGGCTGTTGTAGACCCTGGGGCCACTCTCAAACTGAGGAAAGTTCTTTCATGGAGGAGGCTCAAGTTCCAGTGCAGGTGCTGGCTCCAGGGACCTTCAGCTGCCCAGCGATGGGCTGCCAGCAGGTACTGTACTGGACCCCAGTGCTTTTCTGGGAGGGTCTCACAGGTTGTGCTACCCGTCAGCAGCCGTTCCTGCTGTGCACTCACCTGGATGCCTCTGCTGATGTGATACACGATCTGGATTGTCCCACAGTCCTTGTGGCCAGGGAGGGACTGGGGGAAAGTGGAGACCTCCATCTTCCCTTTGGGCTGGGTACCGGTTTTCTCTCCGTAGATGGTTTTACAAGAGGGGCACTGCAAACTCCCATCCTGTGGGGAGAGAAG